GAGTACCGCTCAATACTCAATGTTTACAGGTACAGCCCTTTAATGACTGGCCCACCTGCTGTCCCCAAGCAAAGAGTTTGCCAGGGAAGCCGTCTGATCTCAACACTGGGGGAATTATGGGAATTCCAGCTCTGGCCCTGCTTTGGTGTTTGTTCCCAGGTGTCACAGATGCCACTAGTGGCTGCACAGCCGTGGGACGATGACACAGATCTTCGTGTCGATGGTAAAGGCGTATAACTCGGCCGTGCTGACTGCTGAGAAGATGGCAGGTGGGGGCACCGACTGGGGCTTTCTCACCCCCACCCACCAGACATGTGTGCTCCGACTAGAGGCCAATATTCACAAGCCTCAGCCACAAAGGCATGTAAAAACAAGAGAGACACAGGGACACAGAGATACAGAGAGAGACAGAGACACAGAGAGACAGGGGCACAGAGACAGAGAGACACTGAGAAACAGAGAGACACATAGAGACAGATAGACACCGGGACACATAGACAGAGAGAGATTGGGGCACAGAGACAGAGACAAACAGAGAGACAGAGAGAGACAGGGGCACAGAGACAGAGAGACACTGAGAAACAGAGAGACACAGGGACAGGGAGAAACACAGGGACACAGAGAGACAGGGAGATACAGGAATACAGAGACACAGGGACACAGAAATACACAAGGAGAAAGAGAGACAGGGACACAGAGAGATCCTTACCGAACTGACATCCTGCAGAGTAATCTTCTTCTTCTTCTCCACCACCTGACCAAAGCGGCCAAACATCAGCTGAGAGGCCGTGAGAAGAAAGAGAGGGGGAGATGACCATTTAGCCGGTACAGATTACAGAGAGGGGGAGATGACCATTTAGCCGGTACAGATTACAGAGAGGGGCAGATGACCATTTAGCCGGTACAGATTAAAGAGCTATATTTGGGGGAAGAGAGGCATGGTTCCACTTTTATCATTTGAGATTAAATGGTGAATGGTGATTTTTTTTTTCTTCCTGAGTTTAACAGCAGTCTGTTTCATTCATTAGTAATGGCGCTGCTGTGTAACTCACAGGGAAGCTGATTTCCTCCTCCAGAACCCTGTCGCCAACCACCTAATGGAAAGGAGAACACAGCGTCAACACGTGAGGCAGAGTTCCATTGATTATGCGTGTCCATATCTATATGTGTGTGTGTGTGTATGCATGCGCACGGGTGTGTATGCGTCTCAAACACACATCACATACCTGACAGAAAAGCTGGTGGTTGTCCTCTGACACTAGCAGCAGACAGCAGCAGAGTGACTGGGTCTCCTGTTGCAGCTGTTACACAGAGATCAGTCCATCAGAGTACCAGTCTATCACATTATCAGTCTGTCAGAACATCAGGCTGTCAGAGTATCAATCTGTCCCAGCATCAGGCTGTAAGAGTATCAGGCTGTCAGAGTATCAGTCTGTCCCAGCATCAGGCTGTAAGAGTATCAGGCTGTCAGAGTATCAGTCTGTCAGAGTATCAGTCTGTCCCAGCATCAGGCTGTAAGAGTATCAGGCTGTCAGAGAATCAGTCTGTCAGTTTAACAGTCTGTGAGAGTATTGGTCTGTTAGAGTATCACTCTGTCGGTTTATCAATCTGTCAGAACATCAGTCTGTCAGAGTATCAGTCTGCCCCAGCATCAGGCTATCAGAGTATCAGTCTGTCAGATATCAATCTTCCGGTCAGTCAGTCTTGCTGCTGATCTAACTTTGCCTTCCAGCCTTCAGTTATAAACGGCTGTATTTCTAAACACCCCCTTCCTGTACACTGTATATTGAGGCACAGCCCTTGCCCAGCTGCTCAGGGTTACAGTGTAATGCTGCTTACGGAGGTTCGCCAAAGACCAGGGATTTCACAGCGCGCTGGTGTCCGGTGTTGGACACGTGCCACCCAGAGCACCAACGGGCAGTGAATCAAAGGTTCTCATAAAGAAACCCCCATGCCCCATGTTTTGAAAAATAGCTGCAGCTGGACTGTATCCTTAAACCGCTTAAAACAAAAACAGCCTGATAAAGCACAGGAGGCTCCAGGAAATGTACTTACTGGTGACCTTTCATCAAGGAATTTATCATAAGGCTCCTGCTTCTGCTCCTGAGCTAAAACACCGAGCGAAAAAAGGGATTCGTGGAATAACTTCAGTGCTTGTTTCAAGTGTGAAAAAATAGTGATGCTCAATGTAACTAAGTTGATACGCAATGATACAGTTTGTAGCTGAGCAGCACTGGCTGTGGAAGCCCTAAATTATCACGGCCCTTTCAATGAGGTTCGCTCACTGTCACACATTCACGGTAATTAACAGCAATGTCCATGTAAGACAGAAAAACGCAGCGGTAAAAGCAGACCGTTACCTCGGTAAATGTTTATGAAATGGCTGCATGAAGCGGGAGAGCGCTTTGCGGAGCGGCGGCAGGCGAACGAGTGGCTATCAAAATGCAAACACGCGACCTACGGCTGGCCCTTCCTGAGGGAGGGGTTAGCACGGGGCTTGCCGCTCTGCTCCCGTGTACGCCGCTCTGCAAAGCGCTCTCCCGCTTCGTGCAGCCATTTCATAAACATTTACCAAGGTAATGTTCTGCTTTTATCTCCACATTTTGCTGGCCAGCTTTTTCAAATGTCTCCCACAATGTGATTAAAACCTGTTATTTTTACGTTGTGGGGACCATTTTTTCAGTCCCCACAAGGGGAAACTCAATTTCTCATCTGTGACTATAATCAAAAAGCTAAAAATGCCAAATGTCTGTTTCTCTTGTGTTTTGTTTGGTTACCTATGGTTAAGGTTAGGGCTGGGTAGAGGTTAAGGGTGTTATGTTGGGATTAGGGTTTTTCCCATACAAATGAATGGAAGGGTTAGGGTTAGGCTTAGGGTTAGGCTTAGGGTTAGGGTGTGTGTGTGTGTGTGTGAGAGAGAGAGAGTGGCGGGCTGCCAGGCAGAGGTCCTCAGGGAGCTGTAGAGGCATCCAGCCTGGGGTCACACAGCCCAGCACTCTAAGACATGACAGCTGTGCAGACCCTGTTAGTACCCGGCGACATGGGATCAGTGTCACACCTCTTCACACCTTTCATGTCGAGGGCTATCCCCCCCCCTCAAGGCTGACCTTCCTACAGCAGGGCCCACCGAGGCCACCCAAAGCCCCTCATGCTCATGTTTCCACGGAGGCGTGGGCCGACGCCGTATAAAAATGCTCCTCTCTCCCTTTGAGGCTTGTTATTTAAGCCCCATGATACGGTGATACTGTGCGCTGTGGCCCGGCTCGGAAAGCTCCTGAGGTGTGAACGAAACTAATGGTTTGTAAAGAGGGGCACTCCTCTCTTCCTTCCCAAATATATTAATTCCTATGATATGGAGAAACATCCAGTAGCTGTTAGCTGCCTGTAGGCCAGACTCCCAGTACTATCTTTCATCAGGAATTTCATATCCAGACACCATGGATATTAAACACCTCGCCGGGCAAATGTCAGCACTCCGTTTAGAAAAACAGCATTAACCTGCTGAAACGAGGTCTGCGAGGACGTCGCCTCATAAGGGAACGAGAGCCATGCTGCACTGCTATCAGCCCTCCTGTAAATGTCAACCCTGTGGAGGATGTGGCACAGAGGGATAGGGGTACGAGCACCCGCCTCTCCGTGGGGGGCCCTGCCGTCAGGACGGTAAAGGGGGACGTGGGGGGGCTGGTGTCCTCTCACATACTTACATAATTGATGACTTTAAGCTGGAGGGAAGCAGCGTCTAGGTCATACAGCTCACCTGGGGACACAGAGAGCATATGATTGTCCCACACGCTGCTCAAAGCCTTTGGCACTGACCCAGGGACCTCACTTATACCTGACCCAGTGACTTCACTAATACCCACCCAGGGACTTCACTAACCTCTCACCCAGTGACTTCACTAATACCCACCCAGGGACTTCACTAACCTCT